GCTAATGACTAGTGTGATTTCACAGTGAAAAGGTAACCAAGTATCTTTGTACTATCATGACCCCCTCCCTTTTTTATATTTGTGAATTTCTCCAACCTTCTATTTTGAAAATTTTTTAACTTACAGAAAAATTAAAAGAATATTACAATGAATACCTCTATTCCCTTCACCTGGATTTGCCAATTGTTAATATGTTGCTACATTTGCTTTGTTTATCTACCTATCATTTATCTATATTTTTTTGTTCTGAACCATGTGAAAATAAGCTTCAGGCATCATGACACCTTATCTCTCAACAGTTCAGCACACATCTTGTTAGAACAAGAACATTTTCCTAAATAACCACTATACCAACATCATACCTAAAAAATAAACATTGATACAATAATATTATCTAATAAATAGTTCTTATTCACTATCTAATTATCCTAAAATAGTCTTCATAGTAATTCCTTCTTCTTTTTGGATCCACAATCCAATCAAAGAGAAACCATTGCATTTAGTCGTCATGTCTATTTAGTGTCCTCTAATCTAGGACTGTAACTATCTTACCACACTACGTTTTTTGGTCATGAATGGCAATGCCGTTTTTGGAGTCCCAGCCAGTTGTCTAGGAGTATGTCGCACAATCTGGACCACATATATGTCTACTAGTTTCCTCATCACTTCATTCAGGTCAAGTATTTTGACAAGGATACTACAGAGGTAGTATCATAGCAGATCCGTTATGTCTTATCACAATGCCCATATCGGGAGGCACATAATGTTAGTTTGTGCAATTGTTGGTGAGACTAAACTTGATTACTTGAATAACTTTACAATCTCCTTCCATGGTGAAGATACCTTGTAATTGATAAGCAATTTGCAGAGCGATACTTCCCAACAGCATAAATAGCTTGTTTCCTAACAAATTTCACCCTACGGTTTTGACATCTATTAGTGATCCTTGATGTAGCAAAAATTACTTTAGTAATTGCAAAATTATAGTTGTTCTAATTCTGTTATTTTTTCACATTTATTAGCTAGTATTCTTATATAAAGAAGAGATTTCCACTCCTCTTCACACTTAGGGTTCCAATTAGACTGATTTCTAAGTCAAATAGTGGAAAGTCGGCAACCACAGTACTGTGAGGTTCACCTTGTAACAAAGAATTCAGAATAAGGGCCATGTGAAAATGCTAATAATGTCTAGAATGCAAATTTGTTGAGCACAGAGAGAAATATAATCTCCACATAGGTGTTTACCAAGTAGCTCTTGGTGAAATAAGAGTATTTTGATCTAAAGTACTTAGCTAGCGATTCAAGAGTCCCAACAGAGGTTTAAGAAAAAAAATTCATTCCATAAGAGTAGAGATGTTTGGGGATTTTAAATGGAAAGCAATCTGCTGAGGTTATTTCCTACAAATATCAACTTTCATGTTCCCTCATTCCACCTAGCGACATTTAACCACAAACACTTATGCCAACGATAATAAACGTTTGTGCTTCTGCGATGACTAGGAGCATCTTCCAAATGGATGAGTTAGAAAAGTGCGCTGCAGTGTGAGGGTATCGACCGACTGGCGGCCAAGCGCGCTCCGCATCGGTCAGAAGCTCACCACCAACAAGTTTCACCCAATCACGTCAGAGCCCTCATCTGAAGGCTCAGATGCCTCTAGACTTTTTTCAAGGCTTTTATTTCTCATTTTGACATGTCACTGTGCTCCTTTAATTAATTCACTTTGGTCTAGGAAGGGGACAAAAGCGAGGCTGTGCATTTTTGGTCAGCATGATCTTTCCTAAGCCCAGGGACGGGAAGGGTTGGAGAGAGTCCTCCTAAAACTGCCCACTTGCTTTTTGACCCCCATTTTGGAAAACTGAGCTCACACCCCTTTTCCTTCTGAACAGAAAGAACCATAGGATTTTAGATGCAAGAAGAATAGGAAACAGAGACAATGTCTCTGCAGTGCTCTGTTGATAAAGTGAGGCCATAGCCAAGGGCCTTCTTTGGATCTGAAATAACCCTAATTGTTGTCTGTCTGGAGCAGGCCCAAGGGCGGAGGACCTGGAAATGGCAAACTCTGCTCCCAGGTGACTTTAATAAGATGAAGTAACTCAAACCCAAACCTTTTGCCTCATTCCCACTCTGAGTGACATTTATAGGTAATACCAGAATAATCTTTTTGCATCTCTATAATATATAGTTCTAAAACATTTTTTTTTCCATTAGATCCTACAACATTATGTAGTGGGTTGGTCTGTATCATTGTCCATATTTTGTGAATGAAAAAAAATAAGAGAGTCTCAAAGATTAAGGCAGTTAACTAATAGTAAAATAGAAACAGAAACCTATATATTTTTACTCTGATTCTCAAGCCTTTCCTGAGACCCTGTTATTCTGTCTGCTTCATGACCCTATAATCCTTTGTGCCAATAGAGTGTTTGGCAAAATCACACACTAGATCTTGTTCCACCTCCTTGGGCTCGCCACCTGACACTCCTCACCGTCTCCTCCCAAGCTCTCTCCTATTCCCTCAAGTTGAGAGTTAAAATGCTTTTGTTATTAAATGGAAATATTGGATAACGTGTGAGACACCTCCCAAGGGTATTTGAATGCAAAAGAGATCTAAGCACTAAGATATTCCTTTACTGAATAAATATTTACTGAGCATCTACTACAGGTCAGACAGTGTCTAGGCATTGAGAATTCAACAGTTAAGAGGCGAGACAAATTACCTGCCTTTGGGGGGTTTTACATTCTGGGACACTTTCCATTTCTTTGTGGAACAAGGCTCTTATAGTGGAATTTCAGGCATGACCTCATGCCGGAGGAAGACTGCAGGCAGCAGCCTTCTCGGGCAATTTTCAGACATATCAGCCTTGGTACTTGCTTACCCAGCCCCATCACCTGATTGATTTTGTTTTTTATGCCTCCATTGTCTCCAGGACATATATACATTTAGCAGTCCTTCTTCTCACCTGGCATCCAAACTCTCTCTCCCTGGGTGGGCAGCTAATGCTTATTTCCAAGGCTGATCTACCTTTACCTACTTTCAGCTGTTCTAATGCCATGGAATTCAAATGGATCCCACAGGATCCATGAAAGTAAGCGGTAGCCATTCTTGCATAGCCAGCCTGTGACCAAAGCTCTCCGGAATCTAAAGGAGAACATGGGGAATGTTTTACATCCATCTACTGACCTAATTAAACATTCAAAACCCCATGCATGAACACCTCAGCTTCCATGTCACATCTGCATGGGAAAAATCAGCGTTGCTAATGTTAACTCTGAGTCATGGAGATTTTATTACTTCCTTTCTAATATTAATAAAACATAGGCTATACAGGAAAACAAAGTGCCACTTGACTTTCTTATTGTAATCAACAACTCAGTGTGGGGGAGACTGATTTTATTGAACTCAAGAGATAAATTGGAAGGAGGAATCATCTTATGTGAACAGAACCATCTAAAACCTCTAGCTCTACAAATAAATCATGTGTTTTTTTTTTCTTTTTTGCAGAAGGTAAACCCCCAAAGGGTGTAACCTACCCATCGGCTCTTACATATTCATCACCTAAAAGCCAAGCTGCCAAAGCAGGCAAGTATTCATGAGTGATTTCATCTAAATCTTCTGAATTCGTAAACACACAGTACTGTGTTTTAGAAGATAGTGTAGAAATTAACATCTAAACTGGTCAAGCTCTACTGACTCCAGTAATATTTTAACAGATGCCAGGAACATGGGCATAGAAATCAATGGGATCAGATGGCTGGGGCTGAAGAGTGAGGCTTTAATGTTTTTGTTTGTTTTTGTTTTCACATTTCCAAGATTGTCTCTGTGTTTGTGCCATTTTCACGCAGAATGACTGTTGCCTTAAATTTTATTGTATTGCTAACTTTAGAAGATGACATGACATTCTGTTTGGAAATATTCCCTGGTAGTTGAAAGGGAAAAGGCTGTCTCCACTTAGGTATGAAATGAAAGGAAGCGAAGAGAAGGATGTGGCTTATGGGATAACAACAAGTAGCTAATCTGAATAATCCAGGCCAAAGATACACTATCCCTGAGGTTGTGACGACCCAACTTCATGCAAAACACAAAGAGGGTACAGGTAGAAAATACCTTTTTCTAGGTTTCTATGTTAAAGTGGGAACTGTGCTATGTAATATTGTGTCATTGGTGGTACTTTGGTTTCCCACACAAAGAGAAGCTGTGAGTTGCTTTATAATTGCTTCCAGAAACTTAATGGATTAGCTAATTTTGATCATGTACTTAAGGTGAACATGATTTAAGAATTTACAGTGTTCCAAGAGCTGATTTTTGCATTTAATCACCCCAACAACACCATGGGTATGTACTATTCTTAGCCTTAATTTACAGTTTGAGTACAATGCAGCACAGAGAAGTTTAGTAGCTTGCCCTTTGCCACACAGCTAGTAATAGCAGAACTGAGAATCAAACCCAAACAATCCGGGCCAGAAACTTCTCTGTATACCATTATGCTATTTTGTTTTGTTTTGTATTTAATGCTAATAACAACATATCTAAAGAGTACTCATTTGAGAAGTCTTGGCGTACAAAGAGGAAATGTTTTTCAATTCCCCACCTCCCCCCATTACTGCTACAACTATATCTTTAATGACACTAATTATTCCAGTAATCTAGACTTGCTTTGGTTTTAATGCAAGGATACAGCTCTTCCCCATCCCAGCCCCCAAGCTGGCAGTGGATTGTGGTGGCTCATAGAGCATTTCTGAGATACTGCCTGTCTTCTTTTGGTGTGGGCATGGAGAAGAAGAATGGATGACAGAGGTCTCCTTAAGTGAGTGGCCAGTTGATGGAGGGAGAGTGTTCCTGGCCTCTCTGCTGTCTCATCTAGGCTAGCAGTTCTCGGTGATTTCTAAGTAGGTGACATGTATGGATATCTTGGGCTTAGGGGACAGTGTTCAGCTATATCTTGGCCCCCTCATGAGGGGCCAGAGATCTGAGTTAGGTGTCCCATCCCTCCGCCCAGCAGCTTCCTGGGCAATTCCTTCACACAGAGCGGTGGGAATGGCTGGGGTTCTCTTCTTCCCCTCAGGGGTCTGAGCAGAACTAGGATGGGTGAGATCACCTTCCTCTTCCCATTTCACTTCACCTTTGGCCTTCTAAGTCCTGTCGGCCTGAGCCCCTCGAGCAGCACCCCTTCCCCTTTCAGAAACAATCTCTATGTTCAAGTTAGCCCCCCATCTTCAGAGGCCACATGTCAAGCACCCTTATTTTTACCCTGAGAGAGAATACTGCTAGACTCCAAGAATATGCCCCAAAACTTTCTCTGCAAGCTCTGCTCCTGCAGTGTACCAGGTAGGCCTGTGGGTGCTGCAGCTTAGAAAGGTCGGCGGGGACGAGAGGCCCATCACCCCTCCCTGCATGCTCTTGTGGTTGGTGAGTGAGTCTCTTGATGCCCCTTCATTTGGTTTCAGGAGGATAAAGTGTGAAAGAAGGGAGGGAAGATCCTCTCACCCTGAACTCTGTTCTCCCCAAAAGATGGCTACTGACCTCTCCCCTTATTCTGGTTTTTTCCTTCTGCTGACTGTCCTGGTCGAGGTGGGGTTGATGACCATGCAGGTTCGACTAGAGTGACCCCACCTGCAGGAAGCTCAGTGGCACCTCTCCTCATTTAGAACTGGGGCCTTCTGACTTCATCTTTGGGCCTAATCCAGAATCCACACAACAGCAAGAGTCCTGATAACCTCCTGTGACTGCGGCTATCAATGATCAAGTGTTTTCTCTGTGCCAGACACCTGTACTACACAGTGACCCTGAGGCAGAGTGCCAGTGTCACCCTTTCAGCAAAGGAAGCTGACCCTTGGAAAGGTTTAACATCTTGCCCAAGGGCACCATTCCAACTGGCCCATGTAGCGTTCAAATGTTGAATGTATCCCCTCAAAGAAGGGAAAGTTATGGGGAGAGGAGGAGGGGAGGGCACTATAGCCAAATGACAGCTTAGATTATAAAATCCATTTGATTTCTACATTCTCCACAGCAGAAATCAGTTCCAAAACTTCTCTATTTATCCCAAGCACCATGGCCTGGCTTACCATAGTTCACCCATGTGCCTGAGTCACTGACGTCCAGCAGGAGTGAGGGAGGGCCAGGCAGGCCTTCTTGCATGTTGATTTAAAATGAGCAAAAGCCATAGCTAGAATATCAAATATGTGTTGCTGATATCACTTGTCCCCCTCTAAAATATCATCTCATCCTTCCACGACACTATCACTGGGTGTTAGCATCTTATTACAAGATCATTTATAGTTGTCAGAGTGGGAAAAATTAAGTTCATTCATTCATTCAATAACCATCTGTTGAGCACCTTCTATGTAACAGACCCTGAGCTAAACTATAAGGATTTTAACATAAAAGGGATATTGAGGCCTCATTCAGCTTCAAGATAGAGGAACAGCTCTTTAAAGTTATAGTCCCACCATGGAGTAAATTTCACCAACTCAAATAAAAAATTCCGGTGAGAACTGGAAAATGGTGGCCTCCTTTGTTGCTACTCTTTCTTAAATGATAAAGTTCCTATAGAAATTGGGGGAACCAGAAGAGATGTCAGTGGCTGTTCAAGTCCTAGCGTGCCCCATAAAATGCTTCCTGATCTCTCCAAGAATGTGAGTTAACAGGCAAATCAGGTTAGGATGACCCCCTCACCCAAAGCTTAACAACTTTCTTCCAAGAGA